TTTCTTCTCTCTCTCCCTCTCCTCCCTCCCTCTCTCTCTTCTTGCTGATGAGACACCAGACTGGGGCTGGTGACCCGGCAGCACATAACACCACCATAATAATATTTTAGTATTTATTTCTTCTTTTTTTGTGTGTATTCTTATAAAATTAATGATTTAAGTTGCAGTTTCCTCAATAAACACACACCAGGTGGAGCCATGGATACAGCAGGAACACAGGGGTGGGGCTCCCCCCCATGGTTTGCAGGCAGAGAAGAGAGCTGGCTGAGGAGAGGAATACGAACACTGGTCAGGACCACTGGTCACCTCCCCTCTTCTACATACAAACCCTCGGCTGTACGCATTGGGGCCCACAGGGGCCCGGGGCCCCTCTGCATGCAGCAGCAACCTGCTGCACTGCAGGGACCTGCAGATACACCCGAGAAGGGGAAAGCAGCAGCAAATACTGCAACAGTTGAGGAGCCGCAGCCATCAGCAGCAGAAGAACCAGCAGCAGCAGCAGCAGCAGCAGCAGAACCAGCAGCAGCAGCAGAACCAGCAGCAGCAGCAGCAGAACCAGCAACAGCAGCAGCAGAAGCAGCAGAACCATCAGCAGCAGCAGCAGCAGCAGCAGAACCAGCAGCAGCAGTAGCAGCAAGAAATAAAAGTTATAAACTTCATTTCTGTGAGGATACAAACGAACCCGAGGATGTATGCAACGCCCAGTGGCTGGTGGTGAGCTCTCAGCTGTATGTATACAATATAAATAAAAATAAAAAAAAATATATATATAAATAAAAAAATAATATTTATATAAATAAATAATAAAAATAATATTTATATAATAATAATATCTATATAGAAGCCGCCGATGATATAAATATAATTTTTTTTTTTTTATAATATTTATATATATATAATAATATATATATATATTTATATAAATATATAATTATATATAATAAGAAAACAACAATATAATATATTCCAATATATATAAATATTTATATATATGTGTATGGTGGTGGTTGGTGCTGGGGTGTATACGCAGCTATGGACGTATGCTGCCTATACACCTGAATATCCTTCTGCTGCTGAGCAGCAGATGCTGCATTCATTTTTTAATTATTTTCCCGATCAATGCAGACACGGAGAAGCAGCCTTTTGTTATACTGATGCTATTAAACATAATCCACCCAGGTAACGCTCCTGCTGCTGCTGCTGCTGCTGCTGCTGCTGCTGCTGCTGCTGTTGTTGCTGCTGCTGCTGCTGTTTGTTGTTTTTGTTGCTGCTGCTGTTTGTTGTTTTTGTTGCTGCTGCTGTTTGTTGTTTTTGTTGCTGCTGCTGTTTGTTGTTGTTGTTGTTGCTGTTTGTTGTTGGTGCTACTGCTGCTCTTGTTGCTGGTGTTGCTGCTGCTGCTGCTGCTGCTGCTGCTGCTGCTGCTGCTGCTGCTGCTGCTGCTGCTTAGAGGCTGCACTGAACCAACCGTATGAATCATAGATTGTTTAATTACTAACAGCAAAATTATTATTCCCTAATACAAAACAAAACTAAAACAATATATATATATACATATATATATATATATATATATATATATATATATATATATATATATATATATA